CAGGATATAATCAGGAGAATTCACCTGGAGCGAGTGGGAGGGGGTGGTGACGTTTATTCCCTGTGATCACTGCACGACCATAGACTGTCTGCACGCCACCTCTACCATCTCTGTGCTCTAATGAACCTGCTGCATTATGTTTCCTGTTCTCCAGAATGTTCTTCTCCACTCTTTAGTTCACATTGAGATTCTCTTCAACTACACAGCATTGATAGAAAGACAAATACTTTCATTATAGCATCTTGTAGAGGACTCTGATGCTTCCTGTCGTTCTTTTTACATCACCATCACGTCTTCCCAGGAGACTCCCCCCTGTGTGAACTAGCGCCGTAAAGACGTACGCACTTCTCACCAGATGACCTCGGCCCGCTGACAAAGTTACATAGTGCTTATCAAGCGAGCGGGCGCTCTGTGGACATGAGAGAGACGCCATTCTCACTGTTGGAGGTTATTGTTCTATTAGATCGACTTTGAAACAGCTGAAGGAGGAGGAGTTACAGATTGTTGCTCCTCCCTAAATGTTTGAATACTTTGGATTGATCCAAATGTTTTAAAGTTCCTTTTTTTTTTTAAGTTTATTTTTGGCCTTTGTTTGAGTGGTGAGATCCTGAGGATGGTCATGTGGGAGGAGCCTCAGGGTTAGTGCTGTAGGCGTGGAGGCTTCACTCCTTGCTTGGCTTGCTCCCGAATGTGCTGCCTGTTTGTGTCATCAACTTCACGATTGGTCACTATGTTCATTCATTTATTAAAAGAGAAACGTTCAGTTTGAGAAAACGTGTTTCTCTTTCAGAGCGGAGTGTGAGAGCCTCGTCCTTCACACGCCAGCTGAACAATCTGCGTATTCTTAAACTGCCTCCTCTTCATCAACAGAACTCGAGATGAGAGCGGAGAGCGGAGCCTCACACTGTCAGGAACCCTGTGTGGTTAGAGCACACGCTGTGAGATATATAATATAGATAATAATCCTTACAATGAATCAGGATGAATTTAACGTCTCTTTAGCTTCAATGCTAATACAAACACTTCCTCTCCGTCAGCGTTAACCTCTGCAGATCAGATCAGAGTAGTTTCCTCTGGAACCAACAGATCTGAACCTCTCCAGCCGGCTCTTCATCACAGAACTCTGAGACTGTACAGATATCTGATCCTCATCCTCAGGTATAATCAGTAACATCTCAGCTCTGCCTCTTCCACGTCCCTTTAGGTCCGCCTCCTCCATGTCCTCTCAGCTCCACGTCCTCTCGGCTCCGCCTCCTCCGCGTCCTCTCAGTTCCGTCGTCTTATCCGCATCCTTTTGTCTCCTTTTGTCTCCTTTGTCTCCTTAGAGCCAGACTTCTCTTTTTCAAAGAGTCAAACTAACAAACAGAAGCTTTACCTGTGACTTTGTGCAGATTGATTGAAGCGGTGATCTCTGCTCTCAGACAGAAATGACTTCTCTGTGTTTGTCTGAGCTCGGCTTGTTGTTCTGGATTACACAGGAAGTGAAAAAGCATCAATCTCATTATCGTCTCCTTCGATGTGCTCGGATCAGCGCAGGCAAAAAAAAGAACTTTATCTTTTCCTCGTTCACTGGAGTTTTTTTCCACTTTATGAAATGTCAGAGATGCATTTCCATTTAGATTGAACTGTTGTTTTCACACTCGGGTGCCGTGTGACTCGGCGTGCACGCTGCACAGTGTTCCAGTCTGAAAGGTGGCGCCGAGGTGACGCACCTGGTCGGCAGGTCGACTGTTACAGGAAGTGGAGGGGAATTAAACAGGAAGTCACAGAATCAGCTGCAGAGGAAACAGAGGTTTGGTTTCTGAGAGGAGGAGAGAAACAGTCTGTATTTGTAGTTTGATGTGTTTCAGTGTCGCAGTCGGCACTTTTTAGTCCAAACCAAACAGAAAGAACGACAGCAGAGTTCTGTGTGATCTCCGATTAAAGACGCGGCGTGTGGCACTAGCCCAAACGGAAAGATTCCTTTCATTTATTCCCAGATTCCCCCGGTACACGTTATGACGGGTGGAGACATCAATTACTCTATTCTCCAACAAAATCAAATCGAAAACTGAGCTGCAAAGACAGGAAGAGAGAAACATGAAATCAAACATTGAAAGAAAGATTCCAACTGAGCGACTGAGGAAGCCGTGGGGTGACCACACGTCCTGATTTGACCGGGAGCGCCACGTTCTTCAGCTGTGTGCCCCGAGTCCCCACAGATATATTTAACAGACTAACATTTCCCGGTTCTGAGTAGTCCCTGTCCTGGTTTAAGGCTACTGCTGTTTGAACCAACAGAAAAACATCACTGATGCAGCACGGGTCAAAGTGTAGCGGTTGTGTACTCTCTCTACACTTTTACTTTTGGCACCAGCACGCCGTTTAATCTGAACAGAAGCACATACGGTCTCTCATGGCCACTCCTTTAGCAATAAGCTCCAACATTGTTAAAACATAGAAACAAATATTTGAGCTAACTGTTAAGCAAGCTACACTGCAGAGATCAGACGTTACAGTTTTAGCTAGCAAAGCAACAACGTGGTGATGACTCAAAAACAGAATAATAAAAGCACAGAAAAGATTTACAATAATTTCAGAGATTCTCTCAAACATATTAAATGTAAAAACATTACTTTTATCACGACAAAATAACTTATTTTATAGTATTTTAGCGGAGCTTATTTATGCATAACCTTACCACGGGGACAGCATGGTGCAGACTGGAAAAGATACACAGGTTGCACTGCTCAAGTCTGCAGGGGCCCCAGCAGAGGGTGCTCATGTTACAAAGCATCAGTCCCAGTGGATACTCGTTAGAATACTCTATAAACAGTATTTACACAATTGAAATAGTAAAATAAGGAGATTCTATGCAAAGCGATGGCAGGTGGAATCATTAACTCTCAGGGCTGTTGCTGTTGCTTAGCTAGCTTAGCTAACTACTGCACACACACACACACACACACACACACACACACACACACACACACACACACACACACACATGCATAAACACCGACGTACACACATCTCAGTGTTTCAGTCGGAGGTCTCTTCAGTCTGTAAGTCCTCCAGCTGACTCTGTGATGTCGGTCTGTAACAGATGAATATTTTGAAATGATAAATGAGTATGATCAATAATCATGTTGTCTGTAAAATGTGGGAAAGTTGTGAGAAGTGCTCATCAGTCTCCAAACTGTTTCCTTTCTTAAAGCAAACCATCAAATCTTCACATTCACCTGCAGCTCTTTGTTTATGCTCAAATAAAATCACCAAAAAGATGGCGGTTAATTTTCTCTGATCAGTGAATCTGTTCATCACTGCAGCTGTAACGGAGCAGCAGCATCTTTGGTTGTTGTTCTTTACCATATCGTTCAGCGCCAGGGGGGACACGAGGAAGAAATGGAAACTGCACCCAGCAGAGCGGCTTTTAGCCTGCAGAGAGAAAACATCCAGACGGTCTGAGAGTGTTAAGAGATATGAAATCAGAACTGAAATGATGAAAACATCCCCGGGGTCTCCCCTACAGGGTCTCCCATACAGGGTCTCCTCTACAGCAGGGTCTGCCATACACGGTCTCCCATACAGGGTCTCCCATACAGGGTCTCCCCTACTGCAGGGTCTGCCATACAGGGTCTCCCATACAGGGTCTCAACCACACATATACACACACACACACACACACACACACACACACAGCCCAATATTCTGCTTTCAATGTCTCTTCAATGGTTTTGACTCCAGGCAAGCCCAGTGCCCGCCCCCCCCCCAACAGCCTGACTGACTCACTACAGGAGACAGACTCTAGTGGACACTGGAGGAACTTCATTTTTATTAGATGGTGGATGTGTCGACACAGTTTTTTTTTTACAGATGGGTCTCTGTATCAAACCGTGTGTGTGTGTGTGTGTGTGTGTGTGTGTGTGTGTGTGTGTGTGTGTGTGTGTGTGTAGGGGGTTACTTTGAGTGTTAACAGTTTGATTACAAAGATTATTGTGTGACTGCAGCTTCTGTATCAGAGCTGCTGATGAGGATGATGATACTGTGTGAAATATTGTTTTTTATGACTCCAGCACTGACTTCTACACACACACACACACACACACACACACACACACACACACTGAACACACATGTACACACACGTGCACACATCTCAGTCGGAGATCTCTTCAGTCTGTGATTCCTCCAGCTCGGGCTGCAACAGATAATTATTTCCCTAACTGATAAATGAATATGACCAATAATCATATAATGTGAGAAAGTTCTGAGAAGTGCTCATCAGTCTCCAAACTGTTTCCTTTGTTCAACCAAAGCATCAAATCTTCACATTACGCCTCATAAGTGTAATGGAGGTTTGGTCATAGTAATATCTCAGGCTGTGGGGGAGGGGCCTAATATGAGATCTGTTAATGGGGACCAGATAAATCCTGCAGACGGCCCTGCTTGCACGGACACACTAACCAGCTGATATTTTACTTTCCTTCTCCTGATGTGAAAACAAGCTGAAGCCAACTCATCCAGCCAGCATCACCTCCGGCTTCTTTCACATCACATCAACAGAAAATCAATAAAAGACACATTCATCATGCAAACCGGGCAGACTGCCTGCAGGCTGAACTAACTGTTAATAATTCACATTCAAATCCCTCCTCAGATATCATTACTGCTAGTCTTCTCCTCGATCTGACTCCGACTGTCTCACCGGAGCCTCTGACTCTCTCTGATCAGACACCACCGAGGTGCTCTCTCTCTCTCTCTCTCTCTCTCTCTCTCTTTATCCTCCAGGACAAACTGTAAATTCAACTTGTTTTGTGCAACCTGTTAACGCAGCGTCAGTCCGTCCTGATGATCCGCACAGTGGAGAGAGGGAGAGAGAGAGACTCACCGCAGAGTTCACAGTCTGAAGCCCGTTCAGCCCCTCACATGAATCTGTATGCAATCAATTATAAGGAGACATAGGATCCATGGATCCTGCACTGAGCACCACACTGAGCAGGTTTCAGGTTTTTACTCACACAAAAACTCCGAAGAGCAGAACTCGGATGCCGATCTCCAGAGCGAGCTCGCGCATGTTTTTCCTGCGCTCCGGAGGAGACACGTTCATGGTGCTCAGGTAATAATCCCACAGGTGAACACGGACTGACGAGGATCCTATCTGCTTCTCGAGGTCGCTCACTCTCAGGTAATCCAACAGCGGGGCTCCTTAACCACACACGCCGCGCGCCTCCATCTCCGCTCGGTCACCTGAAGCCGTCTCTCCCGCTGCTCTCCTCCGCTGCTCCCCTCCCCGGCTCCTCTGACTCCTCAGGAGGTCTGTGTTACTGCCGAGGCTGTGCTCCTCTTCAGACTGAAGGTCTCCTCCTCCTCCTCCTCAATTACTCAGAGCGAGAGAGAGAGAGAGCTACAGTGAGCAAAGAGGGAAACATCAGTGTGTGTGTGTGTGTGTGTGTGTGTGTGTGCGTGCGTGCGTGCGTGCGAGCGAGCGAGCGAGCGAGCGAGTGTGTGTGTGTGTGTGTGTGTGTGTGTGTGTGTGTGTGTGTGTGTGTGTGAGAGTGAGTGAGTGTGTGCCAGTACGCCAGTACAGTCTCTCTCTCTCTCTCTCTCTCTCTCTTCCATCAGAAGTCTTGAAGTTTTTTTCAGAGCCGCCCTGGTATCTACTGGAGAGCGTTAAAACGTTCCTGTCCTGTGAGATAACAGGATAAAGATGTTAAAACGTTCCTGTCTGGTAATCTAACTCTCTGTGGAGACATTTGTCTTGTACAAACACCTGCACATGAATTATGAACACGTGACCCATGATGTGACATAAAGCAGAGGAGACCGGACAGAAAGGACCGATCACAGACTCTGGGGGGCCGAGGGGGATGAACAAATCCACGACAGGAGAGAAGGCAGTGTGCAGAAATAGCTGCAACATTTACATCTCAGGCAGAAACCGGAAACTATGTTTCACGGTGAGTGAAACAGCCGCACGTTCTGATCGACATCATGGACAACTTTTCAGACGATTAATGCAAATTACTAAACATGTTTTATTAATAATCAGTACATTATATATATATATATATATATATATATATATATATATATATATATCAGAGATGAATCAGATGGAAATGAAAAGACTTTGCAGAGTGGGAGGGAAAAGGCGACACTGAGTCTGACACAAGAAACACGTCTGATGTAAAATAGTGAAGGTTCAGCGGAGACCTGCTGACTGCTGCTTTCATCTTTACAACTTTACAATCACAGCATGAAGGTGACTCCTGAAGGTCTGCGCCTTCACCTGAAGGTCTGCGCCCTCACCTGAAGGTCTGCGCCTTCACCTGAAAGTCTGCACCCTCACCTGAAGGTCTGCACCCTCACCTGAAGGTCTGCACCCTCACCTGAAGGTCTGCACACTCACCTGAGGCAGTGCACCCTCACCTGAAGGTCTGCACTCTCACCTGAAGGTCTGCACCCTCACCTGAAGGTCTGCACACTCACCTGAGGCAGTGCACCCTCACCTGAAGGTCTGCACTCTCACCTGAAGGTCTGCACCCTCACCTGAAGGTCTGCACACTCACCTGAGGCAGTGCACCCTCACCTGAAGGTCTGCACTCTCACCTGAAGGTCTGCACCTCACCTGAAGGTCTGCACTCTCACCTGAAGGTCTGCACACTCACCTGAGGCAGTGCACCCTCACCTGAAGGTCTGCACCCTCACCTGAAGATCTGCACCCTCACCTGAAGGTCTGCACCCTCACCTGAGGCAGTGCACCCTCACCTGAAGGTCTGCACACTCACCTGAGCGTTTTGCACACTGAAACTGATAAGGAATAATAGACACTAGCTTATATGCAGGCCAACACACCTGACAGATCTTCACACACACACACACACACACACACACATGAATATTTGATGCTTGTCAAACTGACCACAAGCATTACCTGCCAGCCAAGTGTGTGTGTGTGTGTGTGTGTGTGTGTGTGTGTGTGTGTGTGTGTGTGTGTGTGAGAGAGAGAGAGAGAGAGAGAGAGAGAGGTTGGAAAAAGCCCCTGACCCAAAAACTTTCAGCAGCTTTTTTCTGGGTCACGAGTCTGAGGGGCTGAAAGTCTGAGAATTAAATTCATAAAACTCCTGCAGTTAACAAGGAGCACTGTTAGAGCTCTGACTGTGATAAATGAGTTCAGACACACAAAGACACACACACACACACGCACACACACACGCACACACACGCACACACACGCACAGGTACAGTAGGTTTGATGTGTCTGTCATAAGAACAAACAGAAAGCGAGTGGAGACGTGAGGGTTTGGAGGTGAGAGTGAACTTCAAAGCTTCCTGCAGACTCAGACTCTGAGTGTCAGAGTGTTTATTCCAGCTCTAACATGATACCAGCTTTCAGCTCTCAGTGCTAACGATCCTTAAGACTCATGACGGTCGTTCAGGACCCCTTAAAACAGCAGCAGGACGCCGTAAACACTCGATTAGAGAACAGGAAGAAAGACTTTCATGTTTACATTCTTTATGATTGATGTGTTCCTCCCTTTCTCTTCTTTTTCTAAATGTATATTGTTAAATTGAACTCATCATTCTGATATGTTTCCTCTCTTCCCCCCCATCGCTCTCTCTCCTCCCTCTGCAGTGCAGGCTGTGACTCACACTCCCTAAGGTTGTGTTACTGAAGGTTACACATATGGGCAAACTCTAAAACAGGTCAGGCTTCAATAAATCAAAGTTAAAGCAGCATTGCAAAGTGCTGTTGATCTCCCCCACGCTGGCTGAGTGTTGTGTTCAGGGTCGTCTCGGGGACTCGGAGACTCTCGCTGCTGCAGGACACGTCTCCTCGTTACAGCCTGGACGAGGTTTTATTGGAACTCTTCCCTCAGTCTGCTTTCTATAAAGAGTGAGATGTGGGCAAGTGTTTCACACCCTGATCCTCCTCAGGGCTGTAAACTTTGTTGCTGTTGTATAATGCTGCTGTGTCATAACAAGCTCCTTTTCTCAACTGGCTTTTTGCAGATACATCAGATATTTATGTGAAGAAAAGAGACGAGCTTGCAGAAATGAGAGTGTGTTTTTTATTTTACACCCAATGCAGGATTTCACAAAGAGGAAAGTAAAGAAAGAAGGCGAGACATAAAAAAAGTAAAAAAGTAAAAAAAATGAAGATATTTAAACATTTTAATTGCACAGACAGAGTGAGTGTGTAGCTGACGTGATGTGTGTGTTTAACTCAATCAGTAACCTGACGCTCAAGTGTAAAATCCTGCAGTTCCTCGAGTGTCCACTAGAGGCTGGCTGCAGAAGCACAGGAAGTCACATACACACCCATTCAAAGAATCCTGTTTTTACAGCAGAGATAACTCAGTGTGTATCTCAGTGTGTGTATCTCAGTGTGTGTAACTCAGTGTGTATCTCAGTGTGTGTATCTCAGTGTGTGTGTATCTCAGTGTATGTAACTCAGTGTGTATCTCAGTGTGTGTATCTCAGTGTGTGTAACTCAGTGTGTGTAACTCAGTGTGTATCTCAGTGTGTGTATCTCAGTGTGTGTGTGTATCTCAGTGTGTGTAACTCAGTGTGTATCTCTGTGTGTAACTCAGTGTGTATCTCAGTTTGTGTATCTCAGTGTGTGTGTATCTCAGTGTGTGTAACTCAGTGTGTATCTCAGTGTGTGTATCTCAGTGTGTGTGTGTATCTCAGTGTGTGTAACTCAGTGTGTATCTCAGTGTGTGTATCTCAGTGTGTGTGTATCTCAGTGTGTGTAACTCAGTGTGTATCTCAGTGTGTGTAACTCAGTGTGTGTAACTCTGTGTGTGTACCTCAGTGTGTGTACCTCAGTGTGTGTACCTCAGTGTTTGTATCTCAGTGTGTGTATCTCAGTGTGTGTACCTCAGTGTGTGTAACTCAGTGTGTGTATCTCAGTGTGTGTATCTCAGTGTGTGTAACTCAGTGTGTGTATCTCAGTGTGTGTATCTCAGTGTGTGTAACTCTGTGTGTGTAACTCTGTGTGTGTACCTCAGTGTGTGTACCTCAGTGTTTGTATCTCAGTATGTATCTCAGTGTGTGTATCTCAGTGTGTGTATCTCAGTGTGTGTACCTCAGTGTGTGTACCTCAGTGTTTGTATCTCAGTATGTATCTCAGTGTGTGTATCTCAGTGTGTGTATCTCAGTGTGTGTACCTCAGTGTGTGACGGTTTACAGGCAGCAGCAGGACATGAATGGTTTTGTTTATCTTCATCATTGATTCATTTTTTAAACTCTGAGATATGGGGACGATGAGGACCTCCATGGAAACTGAGAGACACAATCTGACCGTCTCTAGAACATCCTTGTTTATTTCACACCTTCAGAAACAGGTTGATTTTACATAAAGTAATAAACGTCTTCATGAAGAGCAACATGTTGGAACGCTAACCCTGTTGATAAAGATGTGCCCTGTTGTTTCATGCATTAACATCAGAATGATCTAATCAACACAGCATGATGTCACAACAAATCTTCACTTTCTGCTGAACAAACTGAGACCGCCCTCTAGTGGCAGAGAGGGGGACAACAGGCAGAGAGCTGAGTGCAGGTCAGCAGGAAGGATCACTAAGGAAACCATCTCATTTCCTGTTTCATCTCCTTGAGCAGGTCCATCGAGGCTGACGGAGACTCTGAGGATGAGTCAACCTGGAGCAATGAAGGTTATTTTATAAATCTATCAATAATGACCCGGAGGTACGGTGGCCCTGAAGGTACGGTGGAAAAGTTTATTTTCAGAGTCCTACAACTGAACCACCTGGGTGATCTGTATTTTCTGTTTGTTAAACTTCAACAAACTTTGTGTTTTTTTTTTGTTTTTTTTTTAAAGTTTTTAAAGAAGGAAAGTGTTCCATCGTCAAAGCAGAGACGTTTAGAAGAGGAGGAAGACGCCACTGGGACGTCACCTGTTGCTTTGTGGATTAGTTTGGACAGTGGTGTAGCGTTACCTGAAAGAGTGGATAGGCTATACTCCTAATTTCCACAAAATCTTTTTTCTTTAAGTGTCTGTCCAGTAGAGGATATAAACAGCCTAGGTCTTGCAACTCATTAGCAGTTATTTTGTTGCATTTTCAATTAAGCGATCTTACATTAAAATGTATTCCAAGTTCCTTTTGACAAAAAAACAGAACATGTCGTATGAGCCAATCAGAGACAGAAAGGTGCATGTCATCCCTTCACCATAGGAAAAAAAGAGTTCAGCATCCTCCTGAATATTGTGAATCAGAAGGGATTCAGAAGTGGGTATACCCGTCATTAACTCCGTATACTCTGCGCTACAACAGGCTTTTATTTTGAAGGTTTGTCCTGTCTTAAGCTGAGAGTACTTTACGTTGTGTGCTTTTATTTTGAAAGGTCAATGTGTGATGTCATAAGGTAGATATT